TTCTTCCGGAAGATAGATCTTTTAATTGATCCATCTGGTCGACGAATAATGTTTATATCTAGAAACTCGATGCGATCGTCCTGTTCATCGTGACGAGTTAGCTTGATGTTGGGGTGAATGCTGTTGAGTCGATTAAATAGGTTTTCCCCGTCTTCCTTCGTCTGGCTTATAACGAAGACGTCAGGGAAGTTTATTTACAGAATTTGTATTTGATCAACAGTGGAGTTTTGAAGGTGAGCAAATTAAAGTGGGCGTCCATATTCTTCAAATATACAACACAGCTGCACGAAACAAAGGTAACTCCACCGGTTCTGAAATTTTCATGAACGCTAACGTGCATTTTGTCATCCACATTGTATAAATTTTGCGTAACGTTATTTTGCGCATATGTGCAGTTCTGAAAGCCGAACAGTAATGGGGCTTCAAGGCGCTCTCAGGCAATTGCAAACAACGATCCAGTTGCAGCTTCAAAGGCGTTCTTGTTCTGTTCCCAGGCAATCCATAGACACAAAGTAAGAGTATTTTTGTCGTGGGAATAGCACTTCTAGAGTTTTATCAACTTTCCATTTTTCTCATGTCTTACGAACAATACAATTTGTGGGGCAATAGTAGCGGATTGTTCCTTTTTTGTGGTGTATTGTGAGTGCGTTTGCCCGTCCAGAAGGCGAAACTGCGAAACCTCGGGGTTGGGGCGGAAACTCCTACTCCAGAGTAAGGCTGTCGACGCAAAACACCTTTCGCGCGTAACGATATATATATTCAAGCTGTTATGGTTTCATTCAATGAAAGATGCAATACTGCCTAAAGGAATTAAATTGTTTTTCTAACTACCAAACAGAACTTGTCGGTGAGTTTCATGAAATTGTTTTTTACAATTCTGCCACTTCCAATTTCAGTAGTGTCATTTGAAAGCGTTATTAACACAGCATCAAATAATGTAATCCTTCAAGACCGTTGCTTCTATTTTTACGAAAAATTACCTCAGGAATGTTTGTTCACCTTTTGAGTCTTTCGAAGCCTAAACACACCTTTTTGTTCTGAAGTTGAGTTTACATATTTTCAAGCAGAAGGACTTAGCTCACCGACGCCACCAATCGCTAATACACTGTAAGAGGTTGAATTCGGCTAACACGATCCGCGTTTCTAGTGTCAATAGCGTTGTAATTAAACGCCGCTTCTTTGGGGGTAACAAACCCACTCATAAACGCTGTACATCCCAGAAGTTGTCTGTGTTCAAATAGGAGACACTTCGGACAACAGTTTCTCTCTGAAAGGGGAATTTACCGGCAACCTGTGAGAAAAAATACAAACAACCATGAAACAAAAGGTGTAGTGTGATACATGCACACTAGTCACACTCAATCCAAAACGGTGGTGACATGTTCAACGTGCCTGGAGTAACCATTTTTTACCGGATTGTGACCGATCATATTTTCAGCGTGACAACAATTTAGGTAGGACATAGAGAAAAGGCAAGAATCCGGATGCGGAAGATAAGTGATGTGGAAAATGAACAATTGGTGATAACAAATTCAAAAAGAGCAGCATAGATCTTTTGATATTTTCTGCTTGCTTATCTTTTCATGGGTCACGGGATATTAGTAGGCAGACCGTTCAGTCTTTGAGTTACTGAATCCTATTTCATTCCATATCTCTTAGCGTCTCTAACCAATGACGGTTGTCCGTTAGGTCTCAATCTGGACGGTAGGCGGTAAGAACGAGAGCCAATACGGAAGCTAACTTCTTTATACACCCATTACCAAATCCTAGTTTGAACGCCACGACGCTTCTACCCACTCTTACTTGTTATGTGAAAAAGGGAACATGGCGAGGTAGACTATGGAAAGTGATAAACAAAAGGTGATCAAGACATGACAGGCAATGTAGAGGGTATTCTAGCTTTAAACAACGATTATCGGCACCCGTCACAAGACGATGAACCTCATCATTGATCACCATATGTTCCCACTAGCACGAGTAATGATTCTAAGATATGGAAGTTTGAAGGCAGAAAACCGACTAGTACTCGAGGTGCTGGGAGGCCAGTTCTTGAAACCATAAAGCAAACACTATGAGTCGCAGCTATCTATACCCTTCTCTTGAACGAATGTCGGATGTCATGGTGACCCCACAGGTGTGACAGATTGACAAAGCTTCTCCAGGTTTTCCAATTCGTGTTGTGATATCCACCTCAGTTCCACCTCCGGTTGCAACCAAACTCCCTCAGTACTTAAAGTGCTCGATTTCTTGTTTGACTTTGATTCCACCGTCTACTAGATTAAACAAAACGTTTTTTCGAACATCCTGGATGGCATGATTGAATAGGAAAGGGGTAGGAGGGTAGTTATAGTGATTGCAGCAGTAGTAATAAGCACTGAACTCGGAGTACGAACCACACGAGACGAATCACGGAATACGAATTAAGGGTATGCAATCACAGACTGAATCGCGTAAGCACTGGACCGCACTGGCACTAGCACGCAATATCCCACGTAACTGAGACG